TCATGTTAGCATCTTGTAACAGTTTGAGTTTTATCCTTGCCTTCTTTCCCTGCCAAACATATTTCAAAACCATTTTATTTAAGTCTGCAAAAAATTCCTTACCCAACTTTATAGGAATTGTCTGAAAAAGATACAAGATTCTAGGTAAAATATTCATCTTAATAGTTGCAATTCTACCAATCAAAGATAGCTGCAAGTTTCCCCATTTCACCAAATCCTGTCCTATCTGTTGCTTGATCTTATTATAATTATTTTCTTTAAGAGAACTACATCTTGCTGTTAATTGAATCCCCAGGTATTTTACGTTATTTGTGACCTGCATCTTAGAAATCTCCCTCAGTTCTTCTTTTTGTTTTTTTAACATATTTTAGTCATTATCTTCGTCTTCTCTTTATTAATTTTCAAACCAGCAACCTCCCCAAATTCACCTATTTTTTCTATCAATTTATTTATTGATATTAATGGTTCTTCAACAATAAAAACCAGGTCATCAGCAAAAGCTTGTAATTTATATTCTTCCTTTCTAATTTTCATTCCTTTTATCTCTTTTTCTTCTCTAACCTTTCTATTCAACACTTCCAATGTCAATATAAATAACAATGGGGATAAGGGACATCCTTGTCAAGTACCTTTTTCTATTTCAATAGCACCAGTCAATTCTCCATTAATCATTACCTTTGCCGTCTGTTTTGTATATATAGCTTCAATTGCCTGAATAAATTTCCTTCCAAAGCCCATCTCTTCCATTTGTAACATCATAAATTGCCAGTTCACATTATCAAATGCTTTTTGTGCGTCTAAGAATACCAAAGCCATTTGTTTTTCAGGGTGCACTTCATAATATTCTAGAGTATTCAAAATTATTCTTATATTATCTCTGATTTGTCTTTTTGGAAGAAATCCATTTTGATCTGGATGAATAAAGTTATTCAAGTGTCTCTTAAGTCTTTCTGCCAGTATTGAAGCAAAGATTTTATAGTCCAAATTTAGCAGGGATATAGGCCTATAGTTTTTAACTTGCTGTGGGTCTGTGTCTTCTTTATGAATCAGTGTGATATAAGCCTCAGTCCATGATTGGGGTATTGTTTTATTTGTCATTACTTCATTCATAACGTCCAAAAGTGGGAGGCATAAGGATTCTTGTAATGTCTTACAGGCTAAAAACATTCTTGAAACTTGATCTCAATGATGAGGATAGCTCCTATATAGCTGTTTGGTTAAAACAGGAGAATGCTCAGTAGCTACAGTATATAGGAAATTGATCATAATCAAAAGTGATAGTGGATATCTGTTCTAGCACTTGACTACAAAATGTGTAACCTGCATAGTTGCAAAGAATACATTTGGGGCATAGAATATACTCTTCTGATATTTCTATTACATAAGGAAATGTGTCATCAGGCACCTCAAGTAACCTGAAGTATTTTACATACCAAAGGTCAGAAAGGGATATTGCCAAAATTCCCATACCCTTAAAGCAGTGGTGAAATCTGAACTGGTTTACTACCGGTTCGCTGGCCGCGAACCGGTAGTACATGCACCATGGCATGCACCAAATATGCACTGTGCGTGCGCATGCGCAGTGCACACCAAACACAAGCTGCGCACACATACGGGCAGTGCACGCCAAAAGGAGGCTTGGGAAGGTAAGTAGAACAGCATGGGGGGGTGATCAGCTGTGGCGCACGTGGGAACCTTTTAAAAAACTTTTTAAAAGCATTTTTTACTACCTATTCGCCTGAGCTGGTAGTAAAAAAATGCTTTTAAAAGGTAAAAAAGGGGCTCCGACAATCACAGCTGTGCTGCGCGATCATTGGAACCTTTTTTTTTACCTTTTAAAAGCATTTTTTTAATACTGGCTTGGGTGAACTGTCCCGAACCGGTAACATTTCACCCCTTAAAGACTATTTAGTATCAAGACCAAGATTTTCATGTCATTGCAGAGACTTGAGAATATGCATGCAGTAAACTAAGGATACAGGGAATACTGTAAGTGTCTATTTTTTTGTGACTTGATAAAATGAATAGGTAGATGGATCTAGTCATCCTGGTTAAGGATAACTTTGGATACACGCCCATGATGTTTCAGAATATGCCCACATGATGAGAAGATTGGTTTTAAACAAAATAATAATAATAATAATAATAATAATAATAATAATAATAATAATAATAATTTATTTCTATACCACCCTTCTCCCGAAGGACTCAGGGCGGTGTACAGCCTATTAAAAGCACAAAAGACAGACATCAATTAAAAATAATTAAAATTATTAAATAGTTTCGGCTCAAATTTAAAACCCCCAAAATTTAAAACACCTAATTTAAAATCATTACATTGATAGCCCGGCCTGGCGGAACAGCAGGGTCTTGAGGGCACAGCGAAATACACGGAGGTCAGTTCATTCCACAGGGCAGGGGTTCCCACAGAGAAGGCCCTCCCCCTGGGTGTCGCCAGCTGACATAACTTGGCCGATGGCACCCTGAGGAGACCCTCTCTGTGGGAGCGGACTGGCCGGTGAGAGGCTATTGGTGGCAGAAGTCGGTCTCGAAGGTACCCAGGTCCTATGCCATGGAGCACTTTAAAGGTGGTGACCAGCACCTTGAATCGCACCCGGAAGACCACTGGGAGCCAGTGCAGCTCACGCAGTAGGATGTCACGTGGACACAACGGGTTGCGCCCATAATCACCCGCGTGTCCGCATTCTGGACCAATTGGAGCTTCCGAGTGCTCTTCAAGGGAGCCCCATGTAGAGAGCATTACAGTAGTCCAGCCGGGAGGTGACAAGGGCGTGAGTGACCGTGCGCAAGGCGTCCCGGTCCAGAAAGGGCTGCAACTGGCGAATCAAGCCAAACTAGTATGGCAGATAATATTTCTGACAGTTATGACAGTACAATCATTTTCAGAATGACATCAAGGCAGCAATGGCCATCATACATTTCTAAGGTAGCCTGATTCAGTGTATTGTTGTGAGTGTATCTTGATAGTCTTAGCCTTTTTTATAAAGTTGATGTATTATTAATGCTTAAAGAGTAACCTCTTACCAATAATTTCTCAATGAATTTATAAATTTAACTTATTTCACAAAAAGTGATAAGTATTTATCTGAAAATATTGCAGCACAAAGAAAAAAATGCTAAGTCTTCAACAGAATAATAACAGCAGCCTTTTCCCTCTTTCTGATAAGCTGACCTCCATATGAATAAATTGTGGCTCTGCAGAGACATTTCTTTTTCCACATAGAAAATATGGATTACTATTTTTACACTTTATTGTCTTCTGTTTTTGAAAACAGAAATGCAGGAGCTCAGTACTACATGCAAATCTTTGTAAAGTAAACCTTTTGTAAAAACCTTAGTTGTAGTTGTAGCTCTGTGAGATTTGGAAATGGCTGAATGAAATATTTCGGGAAATATTAAAAAGGCAGAATTTTATATTTCCTAAAGGCGAAATGGAGAAACATGCTCTTAAAGACAGAAAGCAGCCCCAAAATCTTTTTAATAGCCCACAGCAGATGCCAACACTTAAGAGATAAAGAGCTTGTTAAAGAGGAAGACAAGTATCTAGATAGCTCTATTCATAGGCAAAGCAAATACTGCAGGCAGAAATCCATTCAAGACAGGATATTTTGAAACTCCTTGGCTGATGGTAGGATTAAAAAGCAGCCCCTCACCCACAATCCAACACAGGATGACAGCCATTAAACTACAATAGGAATTGCCCAATACCCTTTCAGAACACAAGCCCCTTCATTGCACCCTCAGAGCAGTCCAAATTTCAAAGTCACAAACCTGGGAGCTCAGATAAACAATAAACCAGAGGTTGACCAGATTAATTCAAACACCTAGGATTTGCATTTCCTCTTTTGCCTATAGGGCCAGCTATGATCCCTACATTACCCTATAGGAATCTGACAACAGCTAACTGAATATTAAAGGACATGTTTTTGCACTGGAACAGGAAGCTCAAATATGTAGGAAGTTAGCACCCACCCCTTTCCTGGAAGGGTGAAATATTTTAGGAAATATGAAAAAGGCAGAATATTATATTTCCTTGGATGAGAAATGGATAAGCATGGTTTGAAGCAGCTCCCATCTTCCTGCCCCCACCCTTTGTCAATGGGCCATTAAGGCCTGGGCCAGTCTATTCTACATAACAAAGACCTACCTCCTTCAGGCAGAGCCATAGTAGGAATTGCCAAAGATTCAACAAAGATAGGATTAGCCCTCTACACAAAGCAGCAGAAACTCACCACATGTGACCTGGGAAGCACATGTGACTATCAGCCAGCAAGGCTAAGACCCCCACCCCCTGGGAGTCTGACAACCAATCAGGATACTCTTTCGGGGCCCCAAGAAATGCAGAGCCAGAGAGAGCATAAAAATCCGAGGATTTACTGTATCTGCCCCCTTTTCTGCTCAGGAACTCAAGCCATGTGATCCTGTCCACCATTAAACCATCTTTCCAAGCAGCCTCCATGTTTCCAGTGTCTGTTTCCCCACTTGGAGCAGAACCCAGACGGATGTTTCTTCCAACAAATACAAAGCCCAAAGAAGGTTTAAAACCAACCCACTCTCAACCCCATTTTGATCAGCTGACCCAGAATTATCTTTGTGGTTCTGTTCAATAAACCATTTTTCCAATAAACTTCCATGTTAGCCTGACTAGGTGCCTCAGTAGCTAAGACACTGAGCTTGGTGATCAGAAAGGTCGGCAATTCGAATCCCTAGAACAGGTCTCCTGCATGATCAGGGGGTTGGATTAGATGACCTCCAAGGTCCCTTCCAACTCTTGTTACTGCTTCCAGCGTTTTTCTCTCAGCTTGGAACTGAACCAGATAGATTTTCCTTCCAAAATGGCATTTGGCTCATTTTTCTCCCTGCCTTAAGAACTCCCCACATTCCAGACCAGAGCATTCAAATTTAAACTGAGGTTTCAATTCAAGGCAGGGTTCTTTTAACCTAAAGCCCCGCCCATTCCTTCCGCAGCTTAAGGATACGATATGCACCAAGCAATCGTTCCCCCTCCTTCAAATCCCGTCAGCTCCGGTCAACAGTCGAATCTCCCTCACGAAGCCCTTCTTCCTCACCAATCGTCTAGCAGGAGGTACAACGTACGCGCCGTGGGGGAGGGAGCGGTTATCTCTTGTTATTTCTAGTACACGCGGGCGTTGTTTGGCGCGTGCGTGTTCTTTCTTCCATCCCTATGTTTTTGGAGAAAATAGCAAGAACCTCGCGGCTTGCTTGAACAAAGCCTGAAAGGTAGTGTGTGCGTTCTCTTCGGTTTATTCCTGGTTTGCCAACACTCTCCCCTCCCTTTGGAACTGCCGCTATTTTCTGATTGGCCGCCTGGTGCCCCGGCCAGGTGTCAGCAATAGCAGGAGCTAAGTCTGCGAGGAGTGCGGAAGGGGGCGAAAGAGACAGTTTCAAGACGGAGGCATATGGTCGCCTGTGGCTATCACGTTTCCTTTAATTCAGTGGTGATAGGCGCTTGCTACCAAAGAAGATTCTGATCAAAGCCAGGAAAAATTCAGAACTGTCCCTTTCTATGACAGCTGCCATGCTAACGTAAAGGAAGGCGCAACCGGCTCTTTTATCTGACCAGTCACCTTTTGAGACGCTTGCTTTATGCTGGAGATACTTTGATTTGATTTCTCCTCCTGCTCTTGGTGTCGGATATTGGAAGTACTGGACTGGTGCAGACAACTCCAAAGGTTAGAGGGGTTCTCCCCTTCCCCTCATATGAGTTTAGCTGCCTGAAAATGACAAGCAGTTCAAGATGGTCAACCATTGCTTAGTCTTGTGGGTAGGGGACACAGAGGGAGATTTTAAGGAATTGTTGAACCAGCTTTTATCTTCAGCTTTGGACCACTTTGCTGAAGAAAAGAGGGAATGTGGTGGAACTGGGGTTGGTGGAGCTAAGAAATCAGAGAAGTTATCGGATAGCTTCCATTTTGCTGCATCTTTCTTGCATTATGCTGAGGGTGAGCATAGACAACTGTCCACCTCTCTGCTCTCTACCAGTCTCCTTTATTGCAGTGGCTACTGCAGGGAAAGGTGAAAATATCTGTATTTGGAGAATGATTTTGATGCAATTGCCACTTAGATTCTGCTGAAATATGTCTTACACAACTGCAAGCAGCATTTCCTTTATAGGTCTTAGGTGTGTCTTGCAAAGAAGGTATTTCTAGCTCTGATATAATTCCATAACAGGATGACTAGAGGGAAGTAATGCTATACATTTAATATATAATCTCACAAATTCTTTATTTCTTTATGGAATTTATGTCTTTCCAAAACAGTCTTTACAGATACATCCAATGGTTGTAATAGATTGAAACTATAATTAGAATTGTATGCTTATTACTGATTCAAATGCAGTGAATTGAGTTGTTAATATCATAGATTCTTAAGGTTCACAGAAAGTGATAGAACTAGAAAGGGTTATATAGCTTTTTTAAAGAAAGAAGCATAGTAATGGATTTTTAAGTAAATAGCAGTGAAATTAAGTCAACTTACATTGTGTTAATTGTGTGCGTAGGTTGTAGTTTTAACATCTCTTCTAGTTTAGAAGTCTAATAATTTTAGTTAAAATTACAGTGATTGGTTATTAGTATTGTTTGTTGCTGTTTCTATCCATAGACTTACATAAGTGTAAGGAGGTTTACATGAACGTAACTTCAAGTACACCCGAGGGCATAAACTTGACTTTATGATGGCATTCAATTTAATTTGATTTTTAATTCAATTATATAATACCTTCTTTAATACCTTAAAGAAGGTATTATATAATAGGCAGCAAAATGTTCAACAACTCTGCTTTGGCTTTTTCTTCTTTCTTTTATCTGATTCAATTTAACCATTAATGTAGCTGGGCCTGGCCAGTAATCTTATTAATTTACATTTATGAACTAATCAGACTAAATTAGTGACCAGCTGTTTGAGCTTGCAAATTTATGGAAACATTTGACTACAAATAATTTCTGCTAAGCACTCATGGATACAGTGAAATCAAATAATATTAGATTATTGTTACATTATTTTTGCATATAGCACCTTTAAAATATTGCAAAGAAGATCCATATTTCTAGTTTACATCAGTGTGAATACCATTTCATGAAAGAACACATAAGATTGTCCTTTACTCCTCCCAACCCTTAACTAATTCTGTCCATGTTGAAGCTGTGTCAAAATGTTTTCCAATTTGTGCTAGCTCAATCTGCACTGTCCACTTTGTATGTTGTGCTTCAATTCCTTGTAACTAAAACTACACTCTGATTGACTACTGCAACCTGTGGTGGGAATGACCACTCTGGTTACTGGCTTCCAGTGCCATTTTTCTAAAACAGTAGAAAAAAACTGAAATTTTAAAAAGTTAAATTCACTAAAGACCTATAATAGAATTTATTTTTCTTAGATCAGTTGAAATTGACAAGGATTCCCACTTTCCCCTTTTAGTCCATGTAACAGAAAAAATGATATTAAAAGGTATGTATGTGAAGCTAGACAGCTGTACCAGTCCAGGAGAGGTAAAGAAATAAGTGAGTCAGACAAAGCATTAAATCATCACCATGGCAGAAATAAAGGAAGGGTTGAAATCTCAAAGAGTAGTGGCAGTCATGGTTATGTTGTGAACCATTTGCACTCTTACCTGGATCTTGAGGCCCTATGCATTGTCATTCATGTCTTAATTATTGCAACATGTTCTATTGGCACTACCCTTTAGAGCAGGGGTGTCAAACTCACGTTGTCATGGCAGCACGTGACGTATCAGGACTTTTTCCCCCTTCACTAAACTGGGCGGGGCCAGCATATGACGCATCTGGCCTGCGGGCTGCGAGTTTGACACCCCTGCTTTAGAGTATTTAGAAGCTGCAGCTAGTGCAGAATACAGTGGCACATCACAGTCCTGGGAGTCTCTAGGGCTGCTTATATAACACTATTACTGCACGAACTGCATTGGTAACCAATTTGCTTCCATACCCAATTCATGGTGCTGGTTGTTGTTACATGACATAAAGCCCAACATGGCATGGGTCTTGGATATCTGAGGAGCCAACTCTTCCCAATGGGACTAGCCCACCCTACTCACACCAGTAGAAAAGGCCTATTAAGGAATTCCAGCACAAAGGTTCAAGGAGAAGAACCTTTTCCATTGTGGCCCCATTCTAGTGGAACACTCTACTATCAGAGGTGAGAACTGTTTCTGGCCTTCCAGAGGGGTATTAAAACTTGACTTTGTTGGTTGACCTGGAGACCTGAGCGGGACACTCACTGCTGGGGTTGGCTGACTGTTCATCTGTCTCTTTATTATGGGTCATCTTATTTTAAAATCTTAAAATATTTTAATATTTTAATTTCCCCCCACTTCTTTTATAGCTTGTAAGCTGCTCAGAATCACCTTATAAGGGAGGTGGGTGGCATAAAAATTAATAACTAAAATAAAGAAATAAAATAAATCTGGGAATTTTCAGATGGTTTATACACAAAGGGCAAGTGACTGCTTGGCTTGCTTGTTTTTATAATTATACATTTGTAGTTTAAGAAAATGACAACTTAGAAAAATTTGATTTGTCTCAGCTACTGTTATATTTGTGTATTCTTAAATTATTAAAACCTGTCAGGATGGGGTTGAGGTTTGTCCCCAACCGTGAACCAGCTCACAAGCAAACACACTAGGACTGAAATAAAACTAGCAGAGGAGTCTTGTGTAAAAATATACTTTACTTCAAAATGTTTAAAAAACACTATATCTTTAAAAAGGCACATTAACAACAAAGTCTTATCTTGGTTAAATGAAGCCAGGCCATCTCCCTCAATTCCTCTCCACAATACCGAAACAGTCCATAAGAAAAAACTAACATGACATTAAACAGCTTCGATGTCGATACATCATCGAGGTGGTAGAAGGGCAGCAGCGTAAGCTTCACAGCTAAGTCACCTGTGAAAAACAATTCAATCAGCAAACGTGGCTTGAAGCTCCTGGGAGGGAAACTGTCCAGCTCTCCCTCCGATCGTAGCTCCAACAGCAGCAACAGTTCAGATGTTGGCTTGCGTGCTTCAACTCAGCAAAAGGCAAGCTGAAATTGGAGACTTCAAAAGGTTCCCAGCTATCTCAACTCACAGTTGCAGCTAGCTCTGTGGGAGTATCTTTACACAGCTCTTCGGCTCCTTTTCTGCTGCTATCTCTGCTGCAGCCGTCAGGACTCCTTAGCTGAGTTCTCCTCCCTTCTGCAGCTCTGCTCTGGGCTCTGCATCCAGGTGCTTCAGCACTGGCTCTGCATCTAGGCCTAAACAGCATCTAGGCTCCAAATAGGAAGCAAAAAGGTCCATGCTTATATGGGGAGTTAACCTGCAATTAACTAGGGTGGGGAAGGCTTGCAGATAATTGCAAACAGGAGATGGCTTGATTGGATACATACTGTTTGTAACTGATCAAGTAGCTACAGCAATTCTGAAAATACTCGTGACAAAACCAAATTGGAATACTGTAGTAAAATACTTTAAATTGCAACTGTGGTTCATTAAATACATGCTAAGGGATTTAAACATACAGTATCTAAATAAATGAATTTAATGAATGTATAAAATAATTTAAATATAAAAATGCTGTTCCTTGTCCTAAATTAAATATTGGAGTATATCAAGAAACATTGGTATCAAATGAAAATTTATGATCTAGGTCAGGGGTATCAAACTTGCAACGACACATCATCACGTGACATATTGCAACATTTTCCCCCTTCACTAAATCAGGGGTGAGCGTGGCCAGCACGTGACACATCCGACTCACGAGCCACGAGTTTGACACCCCCTGATCTAGGTAAAACAGTAAAACATTAATTTCGTTGACAGTTGCAAAAAAATTGACAGTAAAAAAAAATTCCGTTGACAGTTGCAAAACAAAGTGGCAGCTCGGAGCTGAAACTCTGAGGCTAGGAGGGAGATGTTTTGACATTTTCAAGAATGTGGGGGTCAATTAACCATCCAGAGACCCCCCTCCCAGCAAGCTGAGGTATTTTCGGCTCAATAGAGCTGTGGATGGAGCCCAAGGATCAGCTGTTCGTCGGTGATCAGTCTCAGAAAAGACTGAGGGCGGCACGGAGGACGTCAACATCAAAGCCTGGCTGTCACGACCAGGTCAACCACTGAGTCTAATACAGCTGATGAAATGGTTGGCGAGACGGTGGCAACAGCGACTCCGGATAGGGTGTTGATAATGATGCCTGGGCTAATAGGCGCTGCATATAGCAACACGGCGGTGATGATGACTACGGCAAGGGGGGTTACCACAATGGCGAGGGGAATGGCGCTAACGGCAGCAACGGCGCCGGCAACACCAGGAGGCTGCAAGGAAGCCCTTGTTGTTAATAGAGGAGAGGGCAATGCTGCAAAGGCTATAAATGTTAGGATCCCTTCAACCTCTAGGGATCTATTGCACTGCTCTTTCTTGAAACTCTCAGGATTTATTAAACTAATGAACTAAGTAGCCTGAGCAAGATAGGGACTGAGGATTACAAACTGGAGATGATGACTTACTCTCCCCCTCAACTGTCCCTCTCTCCTTTATTAGATCTAGGTCTATTACAACCACTCAGCATTAACTTGCAATCTTAGATCGATCTGCAGCTTTATTTACCACCTATTCCCCAAGATTACCCTGATTATTTAACCCTAAGTACTTTGTCCAGTGGCTCTGCCTTACTTTTTTGAT